TGGCTGGTTGACTGGGTGAATGGGTGGGTGGCTGGGTGGATAGATGATAGATACATAGATAGATAGATAAATGGGTGGATAGATGAGTGGATGGATGGAACAAAGGAAGGATGTATGGGTGGATATATGGGTGGGCAGGTGGTTAAATGGATGGATGGATGAATGGATAGATGGATGGATGGATAGATAGATCAATGGATGGATGTATGGGTGGGTGGCTAGATGGAAGAATGAATGGAAGGGTATGTGGATGAATGGATGAATGGATGCGTGGATGGATGGATAAATGGATGGATGGATAATAGGTGGGTCTGTGTGTGGATGGATGGATGGATGGATGGATCCATGAGTGGATGGATAGATGGATGCATGGATGGATGGATAAATGGATGGATGATAGATGGGTCTGTGAAAGCCTACACAATAAAATACATAAGGAAGGTTTGATTCAATAGAGTTGGAGAAAAGACATTAAATTTTCTTTACATATTTATTATACTTTGTGTATTATTTTTGTAATAAAAACACTTAATAGTATTTTTAAAGTTATACAGTATAAGAAATGATTTAAGAAGACCAGATTATAATTTTTTTAAATTTTCTTTCAGTTCACTGATAAAAAAATTACCATGTATTTATTCAGCAAATATTATCAGGCAGTCACCGTGAGCCAGGCGTATGATTATAAATGTCTAAAATGCATCAATGAAAAAGCAAAGATCTCTAATCTCACCACTCTTGCAATCTAGTGGGGGGAGACAACCAACGAACAATAATCACTTAAGCAGACAAGCTAGAAAGTGGCTTAGAAGATGATGTACTATGAAAGAAAGGCAGAGGTAGGCTCAGGACTGCTGCAGGGTGGGGTGGACAAGAGCCTTCCAGGCAGAAAGCACAGCACATGAAAAGACCCTGGGCATCTGCAAAACAGCAAGGAGGCAGGGCAGCAGAGCCAGAGTGGAAGTGAGTGAGATGAGAGAAGGCAAGGAGGGGAGGACCAAAGGGAAGCTGCTCTCAAGGGCCATCGCAGTCTTCATGGTTTTTCCAGCTTCATGGAGTGAAGCTGGAGCCATGGCCAGGTTTTGAGCAGAGGAGTGCCAAGGTCTGACTTAGGTTTGAGGATCACCTGGCATCTGTGTTGAGACGGGGCATATGGGGGCACTCACAGAAGCAGACATGTCTCTCGGGTCCCTGCAATGGAGCAGGATCGAGGGTACCTGGCAAGCTGATGCTGAGAAGTTGCCAGAGGCGTGAGCATACTGAGTCTGGGTCCAGGGCCTGGCCCTGACCCACGGCTTCGTGATAGCAGGGTATCCTCCAGCGGTGTTCCATGGATATTTACTGGTTAACACTTCATAAAAGTAATGCTTGTTTACTTATTTAATGAGGTCGCATCCCATTAAGAGATGGTTAAAGGACAAAATATCATGAGAGACAGCATCCAGTGAGCACCCTCACTGACTGCATACGTGCCAGGAGCTACACCAGTCCCCATGTAGGTTTCTTCCCAGTTTTGCAACTGTAAACAGTGTTCAAATAAACACCCCTGCAGGGACATCTTTAAACGATCTCCTAACTCCTTTTTTTAGAATAAATTCCTAGAAGTGAATCCAAGCACATGTGTATTTCAAGATTTTTGGTTACTTGGCCAAATTGCCCTCCCACCAGCAGAGCACAAGAGGGCATGTTTCTTCATACTCTCACCAGCAGTGGTATCCTCACTATTCTTTTCATCTCTGCCAGTCTGATTACAAACGGTGTGTGTGTTCATATTTGCTTATTGCACCACTGAAATATACTCAACCAGAAAGCAATTCAGCCCAATGGGGAAAGTGACCCATGACTACAGCAGACTGACAACTACATGTTTTAATTTCCTCATGCTTCCAGATGGAACCTGATGAGATGCATGCAAGCTTTATACAATTCTTATAGTCATAACATCCTTATAGTGACAATTTCACATTCGGTTTCTTCTCAGCATCTTATCACAAGCATTTCTCCATTGTTATTTAGTGTCGTTCCAAATTATAGCCTGTACAGCTCTGTGGGTTTATAATCATTGGCTAACTTGTGTACCTTCTGACCCTCTATTAGACCCAAGGGAAATGGGGGTGAGAGGTCCCGCTTCCCCATGCTGAATCTGCCATCCCCCTGTGGTGGCGTTTAAAGGGAGACATGAGAGAAAGAGGCACACACCTGACCACATGGGCCTTACATAGAAAGTCAAAGAAACAGAAAAGTTGCTGTGACACACCACAAGGGCAGTTATAAATACACACACATACACACACACACACGATAGTATTCAGAGATTCAAGAAGCTATTGCATCCACAAAACAAAAATGGTATAATATAAAAATTATCCAAAAACTTACAAAAACCTATTACAAATGCTAAATATGACCAGTAAATTTTTAGAAAAAATAATAGGAGTTTTGTACATCAAAGTTGAAAAAAACTCAAAAAAATAATGAGATAGGAAATATGATACAAAAAATAAAATTAAAAAGGCTTAACCCTGGAAGTCCAAAGTGAGAATTCAAATGTCTCAATAAGGACATAGGCGATATAAATAAAAAGGATACATTTATCAAATAAAAACAGAGGGAATTTTTAGAATTAAAGAGCAAATGTCCCTTCATGCTGAAAATGTCTACAAAGTGCTGTGTGTGATGAATAATTTTATGTGTCGATTTGGCTGGGCCACAGTGCCCAGAGATTTTGGTCAAACATTATTTAGGATGTTTTGAATGAGATTAACATTTAAACTGGTGGATTTTCAGGGAAATAGAGTGGCCTCCCTAATGCAGGTGGGCCTCATCCAATCAGTTGAAGGCCTGAATAGGAAAAATCAGAACTTCCTCAAGGTACTCTCCATGGGTGTCAGTGAAGAAAGGTGAAGCTGCTAGAAAATGGGAAAGGATTTCAAGGTCACGGTAAACATATAAATGGCAGACCAATGAGATGGGGATGGGTGAACAAGTGGGAAAGACAGTAAGACTGTGAGACTGCCTGCAGACTGGAAGTGAGCCTGGGCCACAGGGAAAATCAATGCAAAAATCCTAAGTCCTCCTTGCTGGAGAATGTTCCCTAGGCTCAAATCCATTCTCAGAGGGACTTGTGACAGTGGAGAGCATCTTTATTGTGTGTGTGTGTGTGTGTGTGTGTATGTGTGTGTGTGTGGTGTGTGTGTGTGTGTGTGTGTGTGTGTGTGAGAAAAAGAGCAAGCACATGCAAAATACCCAGCATATCCTACTCTTGAAGTGAATTAATGGTGAGAAATGGGGACAGATGATCTTAGACAAATAATCCTCAATCTAACTTGTCTCCACAGACCTGTTTTTTACATATATTCTGTGACAGGAGACAATGGCA